TCTTCGAACTCTTGACCGCAGGTGATCCTCCTGCCTCTGCCCTCCCAAATGTGCTAGGTAGATTAGCAGGTATGAGCCCACTGAGTCTGGCTTATTGCAGGAGAGTGTTTTTAGTTCTTCATGAAATAATTTGACAAGTATTATATGCCTGTCTTACAACAGAGATCTCTCGATGCTCCAGTATATATAGTGTTACATCCCAATACTTTCATGGAGAAAAAATTTTAAACCTCCCAAAATTTAAAGGAAGGTGCAGTTAACACCATATACGCTTTTATCTAGATTCACTTGACTGTTAACGTTTTGCTAAATTTGTTCTGTTTCCCTCCCTCCTCCTCTCTCATTTTAGCTCTTGCTCTCTCTCCACGTACACACAAATATATATATATATATATACACATACCAGTTTTTTTGCTGACCATTTAAAAGTTGCAGCCATGATGACACTTCACCTCTAAATATCTCAGCATGTATTTTTTAAGAACAAGTACATTTTCTCACGAAGACATCACCATTACCACACCCAAGGAAATTAACATTGATAAGATAATATTAACTAATACACAGTCCATACTCAAATTTCCGCAATGTTAAAAAAAAAAGTCCTTCGTAGATGCTTTTTTTCAATCAAGAATCACACATTTCATTTGATTGTAATGACTCTTTAGTTGTCTTCAAAATAGATCCCTGGCCACCCTTGTTCCTCTCTCTTTTTTTAGTGTCTTTCATGAGGTTGATACATTTAAAGAATTTTGGCAGACAGTCTCAATTGGTTTTCTCATGATTACATTTATGTTGAATGTTTTTGGCAAGAATAATGGATAGGTGTGTGGTAAGGTTTTAATACTGAAGACGTTTAGAACAAAAAGTAAAACAAAGGATGCTTTTCCTCTTTTCTTTCCTGCAGGATTCTGAACACAAGCAGTTTGCTCTGTGACTGCCATTTGAAGTGGCTACTTCAGTGGTTGATTGATAATAACTTTCAACATTCTGTGAATGTAAGCTGTGCACACCCTGAATGGCTAGCAGGGCAAAGCATCCTGAATGTGGATCTGAAAGATTTTGTCTGTGGTTTGTATTTTTGTTTTAAAATTTTATATATTACACACTTAATAATCTTAACAGAATTTAAAAAAAAAAACCAGAATGATTTTCCACTAGCAATTTTTGTAATCATACAGTTTTAATTGCCATTAAAAATGATCACAGGCATTTTCATGAATGAAGGCTTTTCTCTTTTAGGGGGATTGTTAACCTTAGGTTAGGTATTTGGTAGTCAGATTCCTGAATCAAGCAATATGAGTTTTTTTATATGAACATTTTTAGTAGATCTTGAAAAGTGCCACCAGGTACTTTCTATTTTTTTTTTTTTTTTTTTAGAAGGAGTCTTACTCTGTTCCCCAGCCTGGAGTGCAGTGGCGCGATCTCGGCTCACTGCGAGCTCCGCCTCCCGGGTTCACGCCATTCTCCTGCCTCAGCCTCCCAAGTAGCTGGGACTACAGGCGCCGCCACCTCGCCCGGCTAGTTTTTTGTATTTTTTAGTAGAGACGGGGTTTCACCGTGTTAGCCAGGATGGTCTTGATCTCCTGACCTCGTGATCCGCCCGTCTCTGCCTCCCAAAGTGCTGGGATTACAGGCGTGAGCCACCGCGCCCAGCCCCAGGTACTTTCTAAAAAGATAGCACTAGTTTAAAGTTGTCACCAACAGCGTATGAATATACTGATTCTGTGTGTTTCGTATTTTTTATGCCGTTTCATAACATTAAAGTGGCAGAGTTGTGTTTTTTCTTTGAGGGGAGAGAGAGAGTCATAGACAAGTTGTCCTGATTCTAGCACGTATCCTTTCAAATATACTTTTTTTTTTTTTTTGAGATGGGGTCTTGCTGCGTCACCCAGGCTGGAGTATAGTGGTGTGTCTCGGCTCACTGCAACCTCTGCCTCCTGGGTTCAAGCGATTCTCCTGTCTCAGCCTCCTGAGTAGCTGGGATTACAGGTGTGTGCCACCATACCTGGCTAATTTTTGTATTTTTAGTAGAGACGGGGTTTTGCCATGTTGGCCCGGCTGGTCTTGAACTCCTGACCTCAGGTGATCTCCCTGCCTCTGCCTCCCAAACTGCTGGGATTATAGGTATAAGCCACTGTGCCCAGCCAATTTCAAGTATACTTCTATATTATTCTTTCTCAATTTGGAATTTTTTCCTTTACACTTAAATTTCCTTTAGGCTGGGCATGGTGGCTCACACCTGTAATCCCAGCACTTTGGGAAGCCAAGGTGGGTGGGTCACCTGGGGTCTGGAGTTCAAGACCAGCCTGGCCAACATGGTGAAACCCTGACAAATACAAAAATTAGCTGAGTGTGGTGGCACACACCTGTAATCCCAGCTTCTCGGGAGGCTGAGGCAGGAAAATTGCTTGAACCGAGTTGGAGGTTGCAGTGAGGCAAGATTGTGCCACTGCATTCCAGCCTGGGCGACAGAGTTAGACTTTGTCTGAAAAAAAAAAATTTTTTTTCTTTAAAGTGGAATGACTGATTCTTAGCTTTACATAGGAGACCTTTTAGCTCAGTGTATCTATGTTGCATATCCCTAGAGTATCTCTGATCATTTGAGTACCTATATGTTGCCAAATCTGTTTTCACAGTGTCCTTAAAGATGGTTGGACACTTGGAAGTTCGGGCCCACAAAATACATCCATTGTTCTTACAAATTTTAAAGAAGAGAACAGAATCTAGTAAAGGTTAAATTCTGCTGACATTGCCACACAGTCCCTTTTTACTTAGTTTTAAATATAGACATACCATATATTTTTTCCTCCCCTTCCACTTACTGCTTTTATGGCACAATGAAATGTTATCCAGTGGAGATACTGGTTAAGATTTATATACCTGCTTCTCTCAGTCAGTCCAATAACATTATTAATTATGAATCTATATTTTATTAGCTAGTCCTAAGCCAATCTTCAGTTGGACATTTGACCTATTTGGATTTTTTCACTGCTTTAGGTGAAACCTGTGCACATACAAAATGCTTTCAAATAATTTGTTTTATTAGGTATTCTCTGTGAAATATAAATCATTCATAAGCTCCCCATTTTATATTGGCACAGAAAGGATAATGGTTTTATATATATATATATATATATATTTTTTTTTTTTGAGACAGAGTCTCACTCTTTTGCCCAGGCTGGAGTGAAGTGGCATGATCTCGGCTTGCCCCCCCACCCTGGGTTCAAGTGATTCTCCTTCAGCCTCTCAAGTAGCTGGGATTACAGGCGCCCGCCACCTCGCCCGGGTAATTTTTGTGTTTTTAGAAGAGATGAGGTTTCGCCATGTTGGCCAGGCTGGTCTCGAACTCCTGACCTCAGGTGATCCACCCACTTTGACCTCCGAAAGTGCTAGGATTACAGGCATGAGCCACCGCTCCTGGCCATATACACGTTTATCTATCACATACATATATATAAGGGGTAATAGAAGTAGAACTTGTCTTGAAATCCTAATATAAGGTTTCTGCTTTTCCCCAATAAGTGATAATGCTTGAGAAATACATTCCGAGCACACAAGTGACAGTAAGGGCTAGTAGAAAAGTGCTGGATCCTGAAGTCAGGAAACTTGAGTTCCAGTCCAGGCTCTGCCACTGACTTGACATGTCTTTGAGCAAGTCATTTGAATTTTCTGGGCCTCATTTCCCCCATCTTTAACCAAGGGAATTGGACTCTAGCTCTGTGGTCTCTTTAAACTTTAATATGCCACTTTGTAAACAGAACACACAAATTTATAGTATTTGTTTTAAAATTTAAAGCAAAAATATATAACTGACTTGGCTGCGGATGCATTTTTTTCCCCTTAGATGATTTTCTTAAGCCACAGATAAGGACACATCCTGAAACCATAATTGCTCTAAGAGGCATGAATGTGACTCTGACGTGCACTGCAGTGAGCAGCAGTGATTCACCCATGTCCACTGTGTGGCGCAAAGACAGTGAAATCCTGTATGACGTGGATGTTGAGAATTTTGTTCGTTATCGGCAGCAAGCTGGAGAAGCTCTGGAATATACTAGTATCTTACATCTTTTCAATGTGAATTTCACAGATGAAGGAAAATATCAGTGTATTGTTACTAATCACTTTGGTTCTAATTATTCTCAGAAAGCCAAACTGACTGTAAATGGTAAGGAATTATGCTCCTTGATTATTTTTTAGTTTAGAAGGATTTTTCATGTTCTGTTTTGAATCACTTGAGAGAATTAGGCTAAACCTGACATTTAAGCAGGACTCTTACTGTCTTTTGAGTTGTGATAACGTGTCAAGTGGGTGGGATTTTTGGATTAGTCAGTCTGCCCACTTATGGTCTCTAATTGGTCTTTGGTTGAAGGGTAAATGCTGTGGCCCTAAGAGATAAGCTGTTTTCACTGCTGTTTATGCTTTTGAAGACATTCTTATGAAATTCTCAGTTTTCATTCCAGAACCATAAATCTCTCTTGGTAACTATAAAATTTATTCCTGATGGGCCTTATAATAACTGGGAATATCTAGGTCATTTTTGGGTCTAATGGTCATTATCATTGTCTAAATGTAGTTACACAGGATCATTTGTGTGTTTGTGTGTGTATTTTTATTTATTTATTTTAATTTCTCTTTTTTTTTTTTGAGATGGAGTCTCACTCTGTCACCTAGGATGGAGTGCAGTGGCATGATCTCAGCTCACTGCAACTTCCGTCTCCCAGGTTCAAGTGATTCTCCTGTCTCCTGTAATTCCGAGTAGCTGGAATTACAGATGTGCGCCACCAGGCCCACTTACATTTTGTATTTTTAGTAGAGACGAGGTTTCACCATTTTGGCCAGGTTGGTCTCAAACTCCTGAGCACAAGCGATCCATCTGCCTTGGCCTCCCAAAGTATTGGATTACAGGTGTAAGCCACTGCACCCAGCCTTATTTCAGTACCTTTTGGGGGTACAAGTGAGTTTTTTCCCCATAGATTATAGTGGTGCATTCTGAGAATTTAGTGCACCCATCACCAAGTAGCATACATTGTATCTAATGTGTAGTTTTTTATCCCTAGCCCCCCGCTCACCCTCTCCATTCTGAATCTCTGAAGTCCATGATACCACTCTGTATGCCTTTGTGTACTCATACTTAGCTCCCACTTATAAGTGAGAACATACGGTGTTTGGTTTTCCACTCCGCACAGGATCATTTTAAAAATGAATACTCTTCTTTCCTGCAAAAGCTTCTCAAAAATAGCTTGATTTATCTATTGCGTATCAAATTGAATAACTACAACATTTTAGGCTTTGTGCAACCAAAAGATGTACTTATGTTTCGCTTCTGTTTTTTAATGATACTTTTGAAGGCATAAGTTTTTTTTAGCATGCAGTTTCCTTGATAGCTTTGTAGATGTTGATTTGGGCAACATCTTTTGTTTTTGAGATGGAGTCTCACTTTGTCACCCAGGCTGGAGTGCAGTGGTGTGATCTCGGCTCACTGCAACTTTCACCTCCTGGTTTCAAGTGATTCTCCTGCCTCAGCCTCCCAGGGAAGCATCATTTAGCTTTATAAGTGAGGGAATCATGGTAAATATCAGGTTCTAAAATAGGAAGTTCAAGAAGGTTTGTGGCCTTCTGCTTTCCCTAGTTCCAGCTGATGATTAAGTGTATCATGTATCCTAGAAGACACAGTTATCAGTGTGCTCCAAATACTCTGAGGTTCTGGAAGAAGAGATGGCCTCAAAACCATATTCACTCTTGGCCGGGTGCTGTGGCTCAGGCTTGTAGTCCCAGGACTTTGGGAGGCCAAGGTGGGAGGATAGCTTGAGGCCAGGAATTTGAAGCTGCAGTGAGCTGTGATTGCGCCACTGTACTCCCACCTGGATAGCAGAGCAAGACCCTATCTCTAAAGGTTTTTTTTTTTAATTTATAAAACTATATTCACTCTCAGAGAGCTTGTCTTCACAAAGAAATGGAACATTACGGGGTGTTTTGCCTACTAGACTCTTTCATGCCTATTTGTATATATATATGTGTCTTTGTTCCCCTGCCCACTTTTTCTTGGTGGTCTTTCTGGAAACAGAGATGCCATCTTTTCTGAAAACGCCGATGGATCTGACTATTCGCACTGGTGCCATGGCCAGATTAGAATGTGCTGCAGAGGGACACCCTGCACCTCAGATTTCCTGGCAGAAAGATGGTGGTACTGACTTCCCTGCGGCTCGAGAAAGACGCATGCACGTCATGCCCGAAGATGACGTCTTCTTTATTGCCAACGTGAAAATAGAAGATATGGGAATCTATAGCTGCATGGCACAAAATATAGCAGGAGGTCTCTCAGCAAATGCTTCCCTAACAGTGTTAGGTACGTTTACTGTTTCATGGGTCCCTGCTCTTTTTGGAGTCTTTGGGATCTACTCTTGGTCTTAACAAGCAAGAAAAATAAGTTTGAGATTACCTCTCTGATTCTTAGATCTTTATCTTATTTCACAATTTTATGCAGGGTTATGTCAGTCTAGGAATTAGTAGGTCAGATAACTGAAATGTGGGAAAATACATAGGGCAAAATTAGGTAGGCATCCTTATCACAATAATTGAAAGTTCAAATTCCTTTATCAACTTACTTTTTCAAGTCCCTCACTGTAAGGTTTCTATTTCATGTAGGTGTGTTTACCATTCAGTGAGTTTGCATTGAGAGTTCCACTGTTCTCTTAGGAGTATCCCAGCCATTTGATGCTGCTTCACTTACTGCTTGATAGGAACCTGACTGACTGTTTGCTCCTAGTTCATTTTCAAAAAAAATTAAACAAACAAAAAATGTATTTTCTAGTTAGAGTTTCTGCTTTCCTTTTCAGTGTGTTCTTCTTAACCCTATTTCTGGTAAAATGCCTTTTTTCCTAAACATTTCCCCCCAGCTAGCCTGGGTTTTTTTTTTTTTTTGTTATTGTTTTGTTTTGTTTTTTCTTCCTTGTTATAATACTTTTCTTCATGGAACTCAAATCCAAGGTAAATTCTACTTTCCAGTTCTGTATTTTCCTAGATGTCAGTTATTATTATTATTATTAAGTTTGTTGGTTTGTGTTACTTGTATAACCAGAAAAATAAGAAGTTATTTATTTATTTATTTATTTATTTTGAGACGGAGTCTCACTCTGTTGCCCAGACTGGAATGCAGTGGTGCGATCTCGGCTCAGAGCAACCTCCACTTCCCGGGTTCAAGCGATTCTCCTGTCTCAGCCTCCTAGGTAGCTGGGACTATAGGCACATACCACTGCGCCCAGCTAGTTTTTGTATTTTTTTTAAGAGACGGGGTTTCACCATGTTGGTCAGGCTGGTCTTGAACTCCTGATCTCGTGATCCGCCCACCTCAGCCTTAGAAAAATAAGTCATTTATTGTTTTAGCATGTTAAGATATACAGAAAATTAGGAAAAGGGGAGGAAAGTCACTCAGACACTGAAGGATTTTAGCATATTCTAGACTTTTCCCTCTCACTTTTATGTAGTTAAATATACCTACATTTTTTTCATTTAATATTGTACCACAAGTTACCTTGTTATTAAAGTCTTTGTAAAACATCATGTGACTATACTATAATTTACTTAATCATTTTTCTGCTAGGTTTTAAAATATTTTTCTTTATTCTTTAAAATTACAAATTTTGTAGTAAACATCTTTGCATATAAATCTTTGAATTTCATTAAGTTATTTTTAACCTTTTTTAATGGGTCACCCCTGCTCACCTCCTCCAGCTATTGCAGCTGCCCTGAATTTCTTACTTAGGATAGCTTGCCTAAGCTGGAATTACTGAGAAACGATTGAGGCTTTTGTCAGGATTTTGTTCTGAAACGTTAACTTCTAATCCTCCTATGAGTATATAAAATTACTCATTTTATTATACCCTCATTGATCTAATTCAGTAGGAATTAGGGAATAAAACTGCCTAACTTTTCATTTTTTTTTTTGAATGTTTTCCTGTTAGAGACACCCTCATTTATTAGACCCCTGGAGGATAAGACAGTAACCCGAGGTGAAACTGCAGTGTTACAGTGCATAGCTGGAGGGAGTCCTGCACCTCGTCTCAACTGGACTAAAGATGATGGGCCTTTGCTGGTGACAGAACGACATTTCTTTGCTGCAGCCAATCAGCTTCTCATCATTGTAGATGCTGGGCTAGAAGATGCTGGGAAATATACCTGCATTATGTCTAACACCCTTGGGACAGAACGTGGCCACATTTACCTAAATGTCATTTCATCCCCCAATTGTGACTCTTCCCAGAGTAGCATTGGGCATGAAGATGATGGCTGGACTACAGTTGGCATTGTCATCATTGTTGTGGTCTGCTGTGTTGTTGGCACTTCTTTGATCTGGGTCATTGTTATTTACCACATGAGAAGGAAAAATGAAGACTATAGTATCACAAACACAGGTAAGTAGTACCCACATGACACCTATGGCTTGTACTTGAGTCAAGAATGTAGTATAGGATTAATTGTACAGTATAAAAAACAGAGCTGGTCATAGTAGCACATGCCTGTAGTCCCAGCTACTCAGGAGGATGAGGTGGGAGGACTGCTTGAGCCCAGGAGTTCAAGGCTCATCTGGGCAACATAGTGAGACTTCATCTTCCCCTCAAAAAACTGAAGAGCTGTGATACATTACCTGATATGTGATGGAAGGGAGTTTTTGTTGTTAAAATGTTAAACTTCTTTGATAGAACCTCTTTGAGGAAAGAATTTTGTTTATTTGAGATAGGGTGTTACTCTAATGCCTAGGTCAGAGTGTATACGGCTCACTGCAGCGTTGACTTCCCAGGCTCAGGTGATTCTCCCATCTTGGCCTTCTGAGAAGCGGAGACTATAGGCATGTGCCACCGCACCTAATTTTTTATGTTGTTAGTAGAGTCAGGTTTTGCCATGTTGCCCAAGCTGGTCTCGAACTCCTGGGCTCAAGCAGTTTGTCTGCCTTGGCCTCTCAAAGTGCTGGGATTATAGGCATGAGCCACTACGTCTGAACAATTTTAAGAATTTGTAAATACTTTTTTTTTTTTTTCCGAGATGGAGTCTCACTCTGTTGCCAGGCTGGAGTGCAGTGGCATGATCTCGGCTCAATGCAACTTCCACTTCTCGGGTTCAAGCGATTCTTCTGACTCAGCCTTCCAAGTAGCTGGAACTACAGGCGTGTGCCACCATGCCCAGCTAATTTTTGTGTTTTTTTTTTTTTTTTTGGAGACGGAGTCTCGCTCTGTCGCCCAGGCTGGAATGCAGTGGCCGGATCTCAGCTCACTGCAAGCTCCGCCTCCCGGGTTTATGCCATTCTCCTGCCTCAGCCTCCCGAGTAGCTGGGACTACAGGCGCCCGCCACCTCACCCGGCTAGTTTTTTGTATTTTTTTAGTAGAGACGGGGTTTCACCGGGTTAGCCAGGATGGTCTCGATCTGCTGACCTCGTGATCCGCCCGTCTGGCCTCCCAAAGTGCTGGGATTACAGGCTTGAGCCACTGCGCCCGGCCTATTTTTTAGTAGAGACGGGGTTTCACCGGGTTAGCCAGGATGGTCTCGATCTGCTGACCTCGTGATCCGCCCGTCTGGCCTCCCAAAGTGCTGGGATTACAGGCTTGAGCCACTGCGCCCGGCCTAATTTTTGTGTTTTTAGTTGAGATGGGGTTTCACCATGTTGACCAGGATGATCTCAATCTTTTGACCTTATGATCTGCCTGCCTTGGCCTCCCAGAGGGCTGGGATTACAGGCGTGAGCAACCATGCCTGGCCAAACTTGACTCTTAAAAACGCATTACAGATGCATTCTCTTTAATGTCAAAGGCTCCTTTTCATCATAATTTTGCTGTAAGGAAGAATGGATCCCTTGCGATTGAGATCAGTCTCTCTTTTTTTTCCCTTGAATATCAAACTGGATTGTTGAGGTCAGTCTTTTACCCCTCTCACCCTGAAATCCTGCAAGAAAAGAAATCTAGTCAGATAGATTATGAAAGTGTGGCAGTAGATAAGATTTCAACCTTTAGGTTTTGTTTCTTTTGGTGAAACTTTGAGAAGAATTCTAGTGAAAAATAGTTTTAGGGGAAGTACCAAGAGCTGTCAGGGTCCTAGGTACATACAGTTTTTCTTGCTAATAGTATCCAAGTGGAACACATTTGCAAAACAGTCTTCTGAGTGTTGACTTCAACTGCCTACCTTTGAGAGTTAAAAATGTCTCTTTTACAGAGGAGCTCAATCTGCCTGCAGACATTCCCAGCTACTTGTCTTCCCAAGGAACGCTGTCTGAGCCACAGGAAGGCTACAGCAACTCTGAGGCAGGCAGTCACCAGCAACTTATGCCTCCTGCCAATGGATATATACACAAAGGCACTGATGGTAATGACTCTGTTGTTTATGGTTACAATTTCAGCCTCATCTATTGAGTTTATTTTTCAGTGTGTAGTTTCTCCATTAATCTGAAGCAATATTTTAAAGTAAGATACCTAATGAAAGCATTTAGCCACATGCAAAATAGGATGAAAATTGACTAAAGTCTTAACAGGATAAGAAAATCATCTTACAGAGTGGAGAAACACATTAAACAAGAGATTAGAGTACACAGCAGAGGCTCCCAAACTTGTGTAATTATAGGAAAGGGATGTTCTGGAAACTTTTTTCAGGTATCTCTTTCTTACCCTTTTCAGGCAGGGGCATCCTTCAGACCACATCCAAGGAAAGCTGGTTTCTCTTCCTGACAGGTAGACATTCAGTAAAGTTTAAAGGGTATCTAAGAGCCAGGCATGGTGGCACGCCTGTAGTCCCATCTATCCATGAGGCTGAAGCAGAAGGATTGCTTGAGGCCAGGAGTTTGAGACTATATCATGCTGTGAGCACACCAATGAATAGCCACTGTACTCTAGCCTGGACAACACAGCAAGACTCCCTACCTCTAAAAAAATCAACAAAGGGTAGCAGTGGTTCTCAGCATATATCAGAGAGATGTAAAGAGTTCTCTAATTAAATGAACCTACATCCCAACATGTAGAGATGCGTACCCATACACAGAGCTCTTCTCCCTCCACCCTTTTCATACCCTCGCTCCCATAGGGAGTGACAGAACTGAATGAATTAAGGGACAGAAGAATTGGGTTTGACTGATACTTCTTCCTTTTTCCAGCTCTGTGACCATGAACTAGTTACTTAAGATCTGAGCTTTACTTTTCTAATTTTTAAACAAAGAAACAATAGTTTGTAAAGCACTTCCCCCAAGATTCTCACAGATCTTTTCAACAAATCTTTGTGGTACTTCAAATACTATACAAATGAAAGATATATTCCATTTCTTCAGATACTTTTTTAGACTGAGTGTCAACAGAACTTTATCTAATTGATAAATGGGATTTTATTTTGGCTTTTCATGAAAAATATAGTAATTCTGACTCTTTTCTTGTTTCTGAGAAAGAGTCTTACTCTGTCACCCAGGCCGGAGTGCAGTGGCACAATCTCAGCTCACTGCAACCTCCACCTCACAGGTTCAAGCAATTCCTCTGCCTTAGCCTCCCGAGTAGCTGGGATTACAGGTGCATGCCACCATACCCGGCTAATTTTTGTATTTTTAGTAGAGACAGGTTTCACCACGTTGGTCAGGCTGGTCTTGAACTCCTGACCTTGTGATCTGCCTGCCTTGGCCTCCCAAAGTGCTGGGATTACAGGCGTGAGCCACCGTACCTCGCCAGCATTTCTGACTTTTAAAAGAATACTTAAAAGTCTATTCTTTGAAATATGTGGGAAATAACACTGCTTTCTGGGTTAAACTAAATTACTTTTCACTCTCTTCCAGTTCTAACATTCTGTTGTGTGATTTTGTTTTTTTGTTTTTTTGAGACAGAGTTTCATTCTTGTCACCCAGGCTGGAGTGCAATGGCGCCATCTCAGCTCACTGTAACCTTTGCCTCCCAGGTTCAAGTGATTCTCCTGTCTCAGCCTCCCGAGTAGCTGGGATTACAGGCACCCACCCCACCACCACGCCCAGCTAATTTTGTATTTTTAGTAGAGACACGGTTTCACCATGTTGGCCAGGCTGGTCTCAAACCGCGGACCTCAGGTGATCCACCTGCCTCGGCCTCCCAAAGTGTTGGGATTGCAGGTGTGAGCCACTGCTTCTAGCCTGTTGCATGATTTTGAATAAGTGACTCACTCTATTTCTCACTCTCTCTTCTCTCCTTCATCATTCAGTTTTCAAAGCACATAATAATCCAGGGAGTTCATTATTAAACCTATACTTCTGTCAACCATGTACTTGTCAGGCAGGACTCCTCATTGTCAGAAGCTTTCTCTAGGGATGCTTGTAGCAATTGGTGTTACTTAACCTCTTGACTCATGAAAGTAACATGGTTTTTCATGAAGTGAAGTCATAACTCCTTATTCTCTGACTTAGTTTGCTTAAGCCAAGCATGTATCTTGTAGCACAGTACCAGCTTTATCTTGCTCCCTTGATTTGGGCATGATCTATCCATCCACGATAGATATGTTTCAGTGTAGTTTTCAAGAGCATGGGCTCTGGAGCCAGAATGGCTGTTTCTGCTCCTCACTCTGGCAGTATGACTTTGGTTAAGTTACTTAACTTCTCTGTGCTATAGTTTACCCTGTCTGTAAAGTGGGGATAATAATAATACCTACCTCATAAGGATGTTGTGAGGATTAATGAATCAATTCACAGAAAGGGCTTGAAACTTCACCTACTTTATAAAGTAAGTGCTCAATACATGCTAGCAATGATGATGACAACCGTTGAAGAAAACTGATGATTGGCAAAAAATAATTCCTTAACAGAAAGATATTTAGATTCTTTTTCTTGTTATTAGGTGGCACTAGTACCCGGGTGATTTGCTCAGATTGTTATGACAATGCCAACATCTACTCCAGGACCCGAGAATACTGTCCATACACCTATATTGCTGAGGAGGATGTTCTTGATCAGACACTGTCGAGCCTCATGGTCCAGATGCCTAAAGAGACATATTTAGCTCATCTTCCCCAGGATGCTACTGCCCTAGAGAGCCTGATATTATCAGCTGATGGAGAGCCATCTGCCTTTCCCACCAACCATGAAAGGATAAGTGAGAAGAAACTTTCGTCCACACCGATGAGTGGTGGTAAGGGATGCATTTTTGTTGTTATTTTGTTTTTACTTTCGTCTAATTGACTCTTCCTTCTGTCATATAGGCAGTGCTCTCATTTGACAGGAAGCAAACGGATTGGTATATAGGAGAAACTGGCCATTGTTAAATGGTGTAAACTATAGCCAGAGATTTCTACATACTAGGGTTACAGAGAAGTCTTCATCTATAGGATGGAAACAATTTTTGTGGGGGTAACAAGATCACACTACTAAAAATTGAGAGGCCACACACAAAAACGTTTCATACAGGGTATTTATTTATTTGAGACAGAGTCTCGCTGTGTCGCCCAGGTTGGAATGTCGTGGCGCAATCCCAGTTCACTCCAACCTCTGCCTCCTGGTTCAAGCAATTCTCGTACCTCAGCCTCCCAAGAAGCTGGGACTACAGGCGTGCACCACCACGCCCTGCTAATTTTTGTATTTTTAGTAGAGATGGGGTTTAACCATGTTGGCCAGGCTGGTCATGATCTCCTGACCTCATGTGATTTGCCTGCCTTGGCCTCCCAAAGTGCTGGGATTACTGGTGTGAGCCACCACACCTGGTATCATATAGGGTATTAATTTTTCTCCCATCTTTATTTACATAAAGAATAAAATATGGGGGGCTGGGCACAGTGGCTCACACCTGTAATTTTAGCATTTTGGGAGGCCAAAGCAGGTGGATCATTTGAGGTCAGGAGTTTGAGACCAGCCTGGCCAACATAGTGAAACCCCGTCTCTAATAACAATACAAAAATTAGCCAGGTGTGGTGGCGGACGCCTGTAATCCCACCTACTCAGGAGGCTGAGGCACGAGAATCACTTAAGCTCAAGTGGTGTAAACTATAGCCAGAGATTTCTACATACTAGGGTTACAGAGAAGTCTTCATCTATAGGATGGAAACAGTTTTTGTGGGGGTAACAAGATCACACTACTAAAAATTGAGAGGCCACACACAAAAACGTTTCATACAGGGTATTTATTTATTTGAGACAGAGTCTCGCTGTGTCGCCCAGGTTGGAATGTCGTGGCGCAATCCCAGTTCACTCCAACCTCTGCCTCCTGGTTCAAGCAATTCTCGTACCTCAGCCTCCCAAGAAGCTGGGACTACAGGCGTGCACCACCACGCCCTGCTAATTTTTGTATTTTTAGTAGAGATGGGGTTTCTCCATGTTGCTCAGGCTGGTCTCGAACTCCAGACCTCAGGTGATCCACCCACCTTGGCCTCCCAAAGTGCTGGGATTACAGGCATGAGCCACCGTGCCTGGCCTACTGAGAAGATTTTTTTTTTAAATTTGAGATGTATTCTAGCCCTGTCGCCCAGGCTGGAGTCCAGTGGCGTGATCTCGGCTCATTGCAACCTCTGCCTCCCAGGTTCAAGCGAACATGTTTTGTTTTGTTGCTGTTCTAGTAGGTAAACATTTAATCTCAGCTTCACTTGGCGGGTATTTTCTTCTATGAGGTACGATCAAGGTCATAAGTGAGAACGCAGTTTTGGGCTTGTGTCCCCTGTCTCACATGGCCCAGGAAAAGAAATATACATTATACTGTATAGATTAGGCATTTGATAACCACTTGGCATTTGAAACAAAACTCTTTCTAGATCATGGAGAGTAATGCTGAGCATGTCTTCCTGTCCATCCGAGCTTTTCATCAGCTTTCATCCTTCTGTCAGCCTGACATGCAGGAGCACTGGAATAGGGTAGGAGGTCAGGCTGGGTGCAGTGGCTCACTTTTGTAATCCCAGCACTTTGGGAGACCAAGGCGGGTGGATCACAAGGTCAGGAGTT